TTCATTGGCCTATCTTCTGAAGTTATTTGCTGATAAATTAATTTTACAAACTCAAGAATTTTTAATAGAATATAGCCAACAATTTGCAATTTTCCTTTGTTGTATCTATTAAAAAATGTGAAATTTTATGCATCACGCTTCCTTTATTATTTACAACCAATTTTAGAGGGACACTCTCCTTCTGAACTTTAGGGAGACCATACGCCTTAGTGGCCAGAGCCTTTTTGATCACTCTGATTTATGACAGGTACTGTGTATATATGTCAACACAGACAAACACTAATACCAAAGAAGCGGGACAAATACGAAAGATAATTAGCCAAACCATTATATATATATTTTTTGGCTTTTAATTTTCTTTTCTCCAATTGAGCTTTTATGAGAGGTAAGATAGAGCCAGATAGTCTTCTTGGCTTAGTCTTAATGTCCATCATATGATGGACGATAGCTCAGCCCGTTTTCACCCGGAACTAGGAAGGAGATCCCGTAGACTGCGTCAAATTGAGCGGTTGCAGTACAACCGGATTCAGCTGTCCTTTTCTGCTGAGATCGACCGTCGAATATCTTCATGCACTTTACACGAAATGAAAGTCTCCTTAACAATATTTTCTTTTTTCCTTGCAAAATCACAAGTGATTTTTTAACGCTTATTATTGCCACCATTTATTTTTGGAATTTACAACTCTTATATATGCTTCTTATTATTTTCGATAGAATGGTGTTCGCTATCCACTTGAAAACCTGACCCAAGCATCTTCCAGTTATTTGGATACCTTACTTAGACCGTTAAATTCAGATGTCGTGCGAGATTTGTTTTCAAAACTTTCTTCTCATTCCATAACTTCAAGAAGCAATTCCAGCTCTCATCCGAATCTTCTTAAACTTTTAAACAAGTCTTTGCTGGAAGATTCAGGTAAACATTATTTTACTATAATTTCTTTGACAATATTGATTTGTATTCGCTAGAAAACCTATTGCTTGGTTGGCTTGTTTAAAGATGCACTTATTTTAATCATAATTGTAACTCCTTATCTTCATATAATTTGCTATGTTTTTTTGAGATCTTATAAGAAAGTCGAGGAAAATTATAATGAAGCTTGTGCTTTTCATTACTTTTTCTCATGAATATATAGCTAGATAAATGACCCTTCTAGGGCAGAATACGAACATATTTCATCCACTTGGGTGTTCTTTATCTTATTATTGCAATTACTTTTTTGGCTCTTATTTATAAAGCTTCATGTTTCATTTAATTGGTGATAGTTTTTTTGAGTTTATTATTGTCTTTTATTTAAAAAATTCAAGGAGCATTCTCAATACCTTATCCCATCAGTGACCATCGATCCGGGGACTCTAATGAAACAGATAATTCTAGCTTCGTTGGTTCCATTTCGACCAACCCCCGCTCAGGACATAAATCCGCTACATCATCTAGTGCATCAGAGCCAAGTGCTGGATCTGCACCTTGCCTAAGTGATCTACTCCATTTGGCTGAACTCTTACTTGCCACTGACTGTCCAGCGGCTCTTAAAAAAATTCCTATCTTTTCTACTAATCAGGTGAATCAAACGTTTAAGTGTCATGCAAGTTGGCAGCATGTGCCTTATTAGAATGTTAATCCACATTTCCCTTAATTTGACGCTTTACCTTGCCCAATTTAGTGTTATCATAATTTTATTTTCTGCCTTTGTACAATTTATTTACAAAAAAAGCCTACTGAAATCGGTTGGCATGAGCGTTCTTTCATTGTTCGGGTGATAATGTTATACACTCGTGAATCTCTCCCACCACCGATCATTGACACAGAGCTATTGCGACGACTTCATAGCACGAGGGCATTTTTCTTTGATAGCTTATATCTTCATCGGAGTCCATTGGTTGAAACTAACATTAAGGTAATAACTTATTTCTTTTCACTATTGTCTAATAACATTTATTAAGCTTAACTGTCCATGTGCATTCGCTCGTGAGTGCGTGCTTATTTTTGAGTTGCCTTTTGCACCACACTCATAGTTTATTACAGTACATTCATAGTGTCTTATGATTGTTAATGTTAATTATGTTTATATTAAAGGTTCATTTACCCTTATCTTTGCTAATTAGATGCCTTCACTCATTTAGTCTGACGTTCAGTAACTTAAGAGAGATGAGATAGGGGACTTAAAGTGCTATTGCTAATATCATACTTACTGATCTAAAACAAGACCAAGCATCGCTAGGCTAGGTCCTCAAGATAGCTTCTCACTTGTCTAGAGCTATAATACTTTTGGTGAAGGAAAGCTCTAAAAGAACTATATTCCGTTGTTTCTAACGCTTAGTAAATACTCCAAATATAATTTATTGGGACCTTACTTTTCGCATGAAAAGGTGGAAATGAATGCTGCTATGCCTTGGTGTTTGTTGATCTAAATGAATAAATCCTTTTTGTATCGTCATATAAACCTGATGTTTCGTTATTAAGCTTCCGTCTCACTTTAGATCAAGTAACCATTCTTTAACAACTATTGTTCAAGAGCTATTGGTTATTTCGAAAATCTACTCACTAGTGATATTTTTTAACAAAGTATATTAAACCAAAGCTATGGTGTTCTGATCTAGTTTAATTAGCTTCAAATGAAATGTGCTTATGATATTTCAAAAAAACAGCTAGACTGTGTTGGAGTTTGCACCTAATTCTTGCTTATGAAATAACACGCTACCAATGAATTTCAGATAAGTCTAAATCGTTTTATCGCAATTAGACAAGTAGGTAATTAGACAAGTATTATATTACCCAAAAAGCACTACTCTAAAAAATTTGTCTCA